TGTATAGATGTGCTTTACACAATTGATCTATGTATTGTGATAAATTGTATGAGCCCCAATAAATTGATTAATTAAAAAAAAAAAAAAACTGTAAAATTTGGAAGCAGTTCCCAATTAGTTATCTAAGATTTGAAGTCACTTTAAAAAATGGGTGGAAGGCATATAGTTGTGAATTCTTGAGGAAATAAAGGTAACTAATTTTCACAAAAATTATTCTCAAAGGTAGATTACACATGAGAAATGTACTCCTTTAGAATAATACAAATTTTCTAGAGAGCTAAAAAGACACACATGATAAAACTTCTTGCCCCCAAATAAGAAAAACCATAAAGACCAAATTGTATTCCTATAAAGTTGCAATGGAAAACCCCAAACGGTATAGAGCAGTACCTGAGGACATCTGAAGTCTGATTTGAGTCAAGTGGATGGGAGTGTTTACTGTGAAGCAGCTCATCAGATTGCACTGAAGGCACGTGGAGGTGCAAAGAGGCCTAAAAATGAACACAAAACCAGTCAGCCAAATGGACCAAAACTATTGGTTTTACCTTATTCTCTCCCAACATGTTCCTTAATGAAACACATTTTAACCCTATGTAATGAATGAAAGTCACTATAAAGAAGCTTGTTTTCCTTAACTAGTTCATTTTAAATTCATATCAAATCTTACCTCTTTTTTAAAAACCACTTAACAGCCCTAAGAAAAGATTTCCAATTATTTTTTTGTCTAATTTGATTAGATCTGTAAATGTTTAAGGAAAAACTAAATTGATAGACCAGAGTACAATATACTCTAAGCTACATAGAATTTAGGCTCTACAGACAAACCTACTGGTCTAGCACTGAAAAGGTTTCAGAAGCAAGTGTTAGTATTTTACTTTATGAAGCCATACACCTTACAGAAAGCTACCTTTAGCTGAACCCTTTTAAGTAGACAGTGTGCTGCTACCTTTTTTTTGTCCATTCTTCTTCATGATGGAGGCTCAGTAACAACTAACTGCTACACCTATTTAGGCAGGGCAATGAAGAGTGGGAGAAAGGAATGGGGTACTGTTCTTCACACTGGTTAAATATAGCAAATACTTTTGTTTATAATTTAATCTATAAAATAGTGTTAAAAAGCTATGACAAAACAATGGTGGTGTTCACTGCAGAAACTCTTGGTTGGTAGAGATTCTATATACTGTAAAAGGTTCTATAGTACATTAGGTTCTATTGTATATTGCCATCTCCTTTATAATTATAACATACATATATCTACATATCCACCTATATGTAGATACATGAACTCATGTTGTAGTTCTAAAATAAAACCGAAAATATGTATGTTTGAACTGTCTACAGATGAATGAATTTAATTAGTACTAGTGCTCTAAATCCTAAAATAGAAAGATTGTAAAGCATTTAGGCAATGACCCACTATTTTTCGAACAAAGAGAAACATACTAGGTGGTTTTATTGCCTATGGTATAAAGCTAAAATGGAATGCATGAAAAAAAAGGTGAACAAAGTTATGTTAAGTTATGCCTTACCTGGTAATTCAGAACCAGAAGTCCTAATCTTGTTACACTGTATCTGAGGGTGAATGCTCACTTTACACTATCCTCTCTGCAAATAAATATTGAGTAGAAAAGAATCTGGATAGTTCTTCACACTTTTTGTAAAGTAGTGTTTCCTTTAAAAAAATGTTCCCTGAGACACTAATGTTATGAACTATTAATAGGTGCTACAAAATCTGTTTCTTGTGTATTAAAATAAGTTTGGGAATTTCTAAATAAACTTGTTATTTCAGGCTGTTTTTTCAGAGCCTTTAACTACAATAGAGTGCAGATAGCATGTGCAGCCCTTCCCAAAGGACCAAAGAACCCTTTGTTTGTGGAGACTCTAAGGACTAATATTCTATGGAAACCCTTTGAGAATATGTTCTTGTAATAAGATCTGAATAAAACACTGCACATCTATTAAAAGGGGAATGACAATCAATCATATGATAAAACTATTACCTTGGCTGACGCTCTCTAAATACACATTTCATTAATAGGCAATTCCGATCAACATTTGTTTGTATTTTGTTTAATTGAAAAGATTAACAATAACAAGATACTAAAGCATAGCAACAAGCTTATAGGTTCAAGTATAATATAAATTCAGGAAAGTAAAGCATTCTAGCCAATCCTTAACCTACAAGTAAAAATCAGTTAGCAAGTACTTAGGTTTGCATGATTCAAGGAATAAAAACACAACTTCTGGTGGGTGTTTAAAGTGAATTATATACAGAGATTTATATATTTTGTAGTAGTAGATTTATAGACTCTTGTAAAGCATTTGTATATTATAATTTTAACTTGTTTATCTCAATCTCAGTTATATCACCTATTAATGAATTTGCTGATAAAAAAATCCTTAGATCAGAGAATGTTATCATTTGAAAACCACAACAGTTTTAATACAAATTACACAAACTTAAAGTTTTTTTAGGCAATAGTAAATAAAACTAAAAATCAAGTATTATTACAAAGATTATGAATTCGTTAACCCTTAAAATGATGCAGGATAATTCCTATTCATTGCAATTGCAGTGTGCTGTAATTCAAAGAACAGACTAATCACTGAAAAATACATATTGTAGTCTTTACTACCAATTTTTTACTTTTGATGAGTTTCTTATGACCACTAAAGTTTATCTACAAAATAAGATTACACTAGAGGTTAGTGCAAGGCTTTCCCCAGCTCTAATACTCTGTATATGCTGTTGAGAACACTAAGAGCAAGCATCTTAGGAAATTTGAATTAGGAATAATTAAAATTGAAACAAACAAAAGCTACTTCTTTCATTCAAAAACCTTCTGTATTTCTCAGGACTCCAAGCTGTCAATAAACATTATTTTAGGAACAGCACAAAAATGTCAATACCTTAAGAAAAAGGGGACACTGATATTGTGCTTGAGGACATGCTGACCAGAACCAGTCAGGTAATGGACCCGCTTTGGCAGTTGATACAAAGTAACCAAGAGCCAAGGGTTGCTGAAGAATATTAGTTACTTCATCATGAGATTCTGTTGAAAGTAGCCGATCAGTTCCTTGACCCTTGAAAAGAAAATTTAAATGTGTTAGTTCACTGACATACCTAGGCACCAGAATAGTTACTGGCAATCAGTATATTTAAAACAAATTAAAGAAATTAAAAAAATAGCTGCATCTAAGAGAATAGTTAGTAATAACATTAAAATAATAAGTTTTATTTTATGCAAACTGTTTAACAAGCTTCTATTAGAATGTTAAATCCATATTCAAAATGTGTGTGCAAACCTTCAATGAATACGTAATATTCAATGAAATTTCTAACTCACTTTTCTTAATATTCCCTTATAGTAATGTCTGACAACATCTCTCCCATCTCAATCTCAAAAGTAGCTGCAATTTATCATTGTTCATCTAGCACAAGATGTTAAATAGTTAATGGTGTTTTGGAAAGCATTATAACAGCACATAGGGACAACTATTAAATGATGGTCAACCATTAGTGCAGTCATTATATTTATTTAATATAAAGAAATAGCTTTTTAAAAGTTCTACGCATTAAATTGTTCATTCAGCTTTACCTATAACCAGAAAATTAAAAAAAACTGAAATGTCTTACATATTGAGAATGATACTTAAAATTATTATAAAGCAATAATGAATATTAGAAAACTGGCTATATTTAATGAAAGCTACCACATAAATTCAATTGGAAGAAAGACATTTTGCTAAACATAAAATATGCTTTTTTTAAAAAATTAAGATAGAATTACTAGTGATTTTCAATAATCTCAATATCTAGCCAGTTTATACGGGAAGAGCAAAGGTACTTTTATACTTTAAAATGATGGGTTTTAGACTTAGGCACAATACATTATCAAATAAAAAAATACTTTATCAAATAAGCACTATATATAATTTTATAGAAATATAAATGTATGTTGTTTAATGAAGCTTAAAACAAAACATCATCTTAATAACATTTAAAAAGGTAGGGTGTTCTGTGCTGCATATAATCTTACAAGAAAATTATTTCTGTATGTTCTCTAGCATAGTCCTGTTTATGAATGGCAAATCTTGGAGCCATGTGCTGATTTTCAGAGATACTGCTATTCTATAAATGAGTAGAAGCTATACTAAAGTGATGGGAAAACTGCCAAAGAAGTAATGCCAAGTAGTCTAGAAAACAGAAAATTAGGGAAAGCAGCGACTTAAAAACATTCATAACAAAGTATAATTCAAGGTGCTAAACTCTATGTAACACAAGCTCATGAATTTGCTGTTAGTTTCATTTCTTGTTGAGGAGCCTTGGTAGATTAAGGGTTGGGCTATTAACTATAAGGTCAGCAGTTGGAAATCACCAATCACTCCAGGGAAGAAAGATGAGTCTTCTCTGATAAAGACTTACACAGTCTTGGAAACTCATAGGGGTAGTTCTAACTGAACAGAATTGGTCAGAATTGATTTTCTGGCAGTGAATTTCACTTATTTGGTAATTTCCAAGGAAAAGGTAGTCTTTTACTTTTTATATCAAACTATTACTAGGTTAATGAACATACTTAGATAAACTTAACTTTTATAATTATTTATTACCTTGCCAGTATCACCTCCATGGGGGTAATGAGATCCTGGAGAATGTACAGGGGACCCAGTTGGAGATGCAGGAAGGATATTAATGATATCAGGGTCAAGATCATCTCCTGTGTCTAACAAATCAAAGATACCTATTCCATCTGCTCCATCTATAAAAAAAATAAAAAAACAAGATAATGATTTCCACATCCTATATATCTTTATAGAAGAGAATTACAATAAGTTAATGGATTTTTAATCGAATGGGCCAATTAAAGCAATATTTACTGAGTGTTAAGTATTTACTGAGTGCCAAGTATTGTGATATTGTGCTAGGAGTCATATATACAATTATCTGACCAAATTAAAGATCTTGAGATGGAGAAATTATCTGGATTATCAATGTAAAAAGTCCTTAGAAGAGGGAGGTAGTAGAGTTAGTGAAGGAGAACACCACACTGAGGTCTTTGAAGATGGAGGAAGAGGTTATAAGCCAAGGAATTTAAGTAGACTCTAGAAACTGGCAAAGGCATTCAAATGGATTCAAGAGCCTCCAGAAGGAACCAGTTTGCTGACACATTGTAGCCCAGAGATTTAATTTCTGACTTCTAACCTTCAGAACTTTAAGATAAAGTTGTGTTGCTTAAGTCACAAAGTTTGTATTAATTTGCTACAGCAGCAATAGAAAATAGAAAGATAGAAAAAATGTTAGTAATAAATGTCTTTACAATGTGGGCAACTAAGGATCACTAGAGTATTCCTTAATATTATGTTAAATATCAAATTATCTTAATATGTCAAAAGATAATTAAATACATTAAAAGAATAATTTATATCCATACTTGTGAATTTAAAGATGTTACATTTCCTACGGTAGCTAGGCTTGACTATTTAGTTTCTCCTCCATCAAAAGGAAACCTGTAACAACTTCTAGAAAAATAACATCTCTCTTCTCATAGTTAAAACAAATTATTGTTTTTGGCGAATTGAAACATAAAATGGTGACTATAAAATGAACTAAGAAGTCCTAATAGTACTATGGATTTAGCACTGGGTTGCTTACTACAACGTTGGTAATTCAAAGCCATCAGCTGCTAGACTGTAGAAAAATAAGGCTGCCTGTTCTCAAAAGGGTTTATAATTTAGAAAACCCTGTATCAAGGTCAAAATGAGTTGAAAACAGGAGAAAATGATGCTATGTGCTCCATTAAAGACTTATAGCCTTGGAAACTGCAGGAAGCAGTCCTATTCTGTCCTATATGGCTGTTATGAGTCAAACTTTTTAGGAACAAGTCACCTACCATTGTTGGGATTGAAAGCCAAGTCTAGGTTTTCAGTGGTATATGTAGCTGAAGCTACTTGTACAGACGCAGAAGTAGGGAACACAAGTATATGAGTACACGATGTGTCCTGTGGGGTATTTAGCTGAGATGTCTGCATGTTGAGAGTGGTGCTCCTTCCAAAAACAGAACCAGTTGACACAGCATCTGAGAAGAGAATGAAAGGCAATTTTTCTTTTAATGAAAGAAAAAAAATTTAAATATAGGCAGTCCCCAGGTTATGAATGAGATCCATTCTTAACTATGTCTTGAAGAATTTGTATGTCAGCCCAATTGTGCTTTTTATTTAGCCTTACTTTAGTACAAAAAGGAGTCCTTGTGGTGTAATGATTACACATTGGGACAAGGCTCTCTATTCAGGTAAAGAGTTACATTCTTAGAGACCCACATGGAAAATTCTACCCTGTCCTATAGGGTTGTTATTGACTCAATGGGGCAGTGAGTTTGAGGTGGTGTTTTTTTTTAAGGCCAAGAAAAAGCGTGAAGGCTTTTCAAAGATTTAAAAGCTGCATGTGCAGCATGTGAAGGTAACTGTGATAATAATTTTTTTCTTGGTAGGAATGGTTCAATCGTTTGAGCAAGAGCAAATTTACTTCACATTAAAGTAGGGCTACAAAGACAGTGGCGTCGTGCTCAAAGATGGTGCCATTTTGAATGCATGGCACTCTACAGTTGTCAATAATCCCCTCTCATACATAAGGCTCCTAAAGGACTCGCTTTGTTTCCATTCTAAGGCTGTTTCCAATTTCAGTTATTGTGATGAGTTAACCAGATAATAAAAATTCCTTTTGTGCTTCACTGGCCAAGCCAGAAACAGTTCAAAGCCCTACATTAAAGGGCAAGGAGGAATTATCCATAAGTGGGACTTTCATAACCTGGGAATTGCCTATACTGAAAAACTTAGGTGCACCAAGAATTCAATTTAATATGAATTAAAGATAGCTAACCTGGCATAATAACAAAAGAGCCTTGGGGTTCCATTGCTACTAAGCAAGCACTGAGAATGCTGGGAGAGTCTGCAGCAGATATACCACACATTCTACACATATCTTTGAGCCTTTTACTTAAAGACTGCAAGTTTCGACGACTCAGCAAACCACTCCAATCTGTGGGTATCAATAGTTAAAATAAAGATCCAGCATTAGTTAAGAACTAGAAGAACCTAAATTGAAACATAAAAATAGTAGTTAATGTTTTCAAAAGGGCTTTTCTTGATCAGAAATTATTATCAAGTCAAAATCTTTTTGTTGATAAAAATCAGTATTCTTGGTTTTTTTTGTTTGTTTTTTTATATATATAGATATATAGTGAAAAATAAAATTGTTGAAGGAAAAAAAAATCAATATTCTTTATTTGCCTAAGATTAGTATTCAATCAGTATTTGCTTAACAGGGGATGAACTATGCAGAAATCAGAAAAACTTTAACACAAAAAACAGCAGTAATAACAGATGTTAAAATATAGTATCAAAAAATAGTTCAACAGTAAAATGGCCTTTTAAAATTTAAATAAGACATTTGTGGCTTAGACCTATGTGGTTCCTCTTTTTAAAAAAAATGCTTTTAATGATCACCTTTGGATTACATTCCATACTTAAATGTAGTCTTAACAGCGTGTGAATTTAACTGAAAAAAGAAATTCAAGTTATAAAAACACAATTTTACCTTTTAATTCTCCATGACCAATCCTTCCGAGGCGACCAATTACAACTCTCCATGGTAATGAACTCATTTGTATAAGTCCTAAACACCATTCCCAGAGCTTCTGTAGTCCAAACCTTCTAGCTGAACCTTTTTTCCGACGAGCTCTGTAAGAAATAAAAAGACAGCCAAACATTTAAAAAATCTTTTACTTGTATTTTTTAATTGTGAAAAACTGGTTCCATAATTTTAATGCTTGACATTTTTTACATAATCTTAAACAAGAATACACATAAAAACGGAGGCTTATCATGGTAATTTCTAGTACACGTTAAAATACATATAAACTTAAACATTTTTTAATTTTTGTTCAATCACCACCTGAATTTATCAGAAACATGGCTTTCTCTAAGGGTTGGTAAAGTTCTTCTTTAAAAACCAGATAGTCAATATTTTAGGATTTGAGAGCCATTGAAATTGTTACAGCAATTCAACTCTATGTTGCATCATGAACAGGTACAGCCAGATTTGGTGGACCCCTACCATTAAACTTGAGCTTCAAGTATGGTAAGGAAAGCACCAAACATCCCAAAACAAACAACATTGCTGTATTCTTCTTTATACGTGTCTTGTATTAGGCAAGTATGTGTACAATGTAAGTAATCTGTGGTTGAGTAACAATAGCTAGTACCATTTCCTGAGTACTCACTATGTATAGGCATTTAATCCAGTCACTGTAACACCTCATTTTATCCTAGCAACACTATGTGGCAGATAAAAGTATCCACTCAATTTTACATATAAGCACACTTTAGTGATGCTGACTAAATATTTTTCCTAAGGTCACAGAGACAGCAAACAGCAGAGTTGAGATATGATCCTCAATCTCTCTAAATATAGAATGACTATGAAAATGGTGTTTCGTTATTGTTACATAAATAAGTCAAAATCGATGTGATGGCAGTACTTAACCACCTCTTATTTTTAATTTTACCCACAATCCACCCTAATATTTTAATGTATACAACCATTATGTATGTTTTCTATTCAGTAAAAATTGGATCTACACCATATAAACTGTATGTATACACTTTTACATATTTATAAAAATTAATTTTTCATAAAAATGGATGATACATTTAGGGAAATTTCAGTACCTGTTTGGAACATCAATATTAATGATACAAGTTTCTAAAAGTTCTCCATAAAGATCTGTGCAAGATGCAAGAATCCATCTTTGATCATGTGATAAACAGTAGCCCACAAAAAGAACATTGTACTTCTGACCAGCTTCTCCAAAAGTTTCTCCAAGCTCTGTTTGCTTGTCCTTTACAGGAGCCAGGATAAATGGAGGCGTATAAAGTCGAATGCACTCTGGTCTCTGTAAAATAAAAAAATTATCGTATCCTATCTTTTACTGGGAATTTGACACAATTTACTCAATTGTAATAGCGAAATAAATAACTCCAATTAATTTTCCATAAAATTATAATATTTACAGTCATGTAAAATATACTTACATCAGGACTTTTAAGAGCGGTTTCCATGGCTAAACCTGGGCCAAAACCAGTCAGTGTTTTCACATTGGTTGATGATGGAAGTGGTCTCCGACACTGGGTGAAGGCCGAAAAAGCCAGAGATTTTAAATGCTGGGTATGGATTTGCCTATCTTCATGCTTCACAGGTTGCAACAGGTATTGACAAGGAACAATCTACGAAATATAGGCAAACAGTACAAATGTTAAATTTTGTAACAAGAGAAAAGTGAGCTCATAAACTCTCCTAAAAACTCTTTGCTAGAAAGTTTAAACAGAACTTTTATTTAAATGATAAGCTAAAGAACTATGTTTTCTGGTCTATTATCAGGACCACTAAGTGGTGTCATAGTTAAAGTGTCTACTAAAAGATTGCTGGTTCTAAAACACCAATTATTCCTCAGGAGAAAGATTTGGCAGTCGGCTTCTGAAAATATTTACACCTTTGGTAACCCCATGTGGCAGTTCTACTCTGTCCTATAGGGTCATGATAAGTTAGAATTACCTTGATGGATTAGGTTTACTTTTGGTTTACTAATTATAGAGATTTTTTTTTTTAAAACAAAGTAGTCCACTTTACCAAAGGGCCTTGAACTAAAGGATTATCTAATATTACTCCCCATTGTTACTGTGGTATGACTGTAAAGCTATCCTTTCTTAAATTTCAAAAAAATCCATTTGAATATAAAAATGTATTATCTTTGACATTTTTATTAACTTATGTTTAGCTTATATTATTTATCATTCTTACCTGTACAGAAACAGTACTCTTGATATGAGGAGGAAGAGTCTGGACCATTTCCAAAAAACATCTAAGTAGCCCCAAAGTCCATACGTTAGAAGAATTAGTATTCTCTTCTTTATTTTCATATGTAAAAGGATCAATTATATAAACAACAATTGCAGGTGGATAGGTGATTGCATGTGAATCACCATCTGTAGGTATTCCAACTTTATCCCGATCCATTGTGCTAAAAGTTGAGGTAGGAATAAGACCATTAAAAGAGGGAAAAGGTGCATTTTTCTTGGGGTGGTATCAGTGCGGAATCTTAATGCCCCTCGACTTTTCTGTTTTTGGTGGAGATATCCATGAGCTTCTCAGAAAATAAGAGACAGCTCTTTCTTCCTAAAATAGAACCACAAACACCTAACTTCAGGGTATAAAACAGAGATCTTAGGTTAAGACCTCTTGCATTTTAAAAAAAAGGGGGGTTGGGGGATAGAAATTTTTAAATCACAGGATACCAGAAAGTGGATTTAGTATTAAAACATAAAATGGAAACAAAGATAAGTTAAATGCACTGGCAAGGCCACAAGCTGGCCAGAGGTAGAGCCAGGTAAGAAAGACACTAGGTTTCCAGACTTGAAAGCCAATTTTCTCCCCTACATTAATGTACTGCACATATTCGTTGACTTCAATAGTGAATAATTTTCATTCTTTGATGTGATTTGATTCCTTAAAACTGTAAAATTTATTTAGATATTCAAGAAGGGTAAACATATTTGAATAATAGCTGTTAGCCACATATATGAGAGCTGAAATCTATAACCAAGCTCAGAAAGCTTTATATATAAAAAAGAAAACTTAAAATATAAATCAAAAGCAAAGTACAAACACCTTCAATATAAAAATATAGTCATCACTGTTAAATTATGAATACCTTGAGTGCTTAGAAGTACTGTATACAATTGTCATATATTACCTTCATTTTATAGATAAAGAAATATATTAAAAAAGACAACTTTCAAAAGTTACATAGCCAGTATATGAAAGAGCTGTATTCCAACACTGGTTATGACAAAGTCCCAATGGGTTGGCATGATAGTAACTTTTAATGATTATAATGATGTATGTAAACTAATCTGACAGTTATGATGTAGACCAGATTTAAACATCAGATAGATTAATAGTTTTTAGAGGTCTTAATTTCCATTCTAGTGTTCTATGACAAAGACAAAAAAAATTTATTTAGGTAATAATATAAAAACTAAAACTTCAATAAGCTATACAAGCTCTTTATAGTCAGTCAGTATTACTTCTTTAAGGAAAAGAAATCGTGTTTCTATTTTTGCAAAGATCAGACGCTACCTTTCAGACACATCAGGATGGGGCTGAGTAGAAAGCAAAGATGACTCTCCAGAAGCCCCAGCTGGTTGCAGAGCTGATGACTGCTGCCCTCCGAACTGGCCATTTGGAACTGTGGTTGTTTGTGTAGACATGGATCCTGCAGCACTAGTGTTCATACTGCCAAAAGGTGGAAATGAAGGTAGTTTACTTGATGAGACTCCACTATTCAAGCTGGAGGATGATGATGATGAAGTTGACGTTGTGGTCAAAGTTGAGTTAGCTGTGGCAACTGAAGAAGACATGGCACCACCTGAAGTCAATGTCACAGTGCTGCTCGCTGCAGATGCTTGGGTGGTGGATGGAGTGGTGGTAGCATTTCCAGTACTTGTCATCTGAGGTGGAGTAATCAAAGACTGGCTTGTAGGGACAACTAAATTTGGCTGGGAAAGTAGAGAACTGTCCAATGGCTGGGAAGCAAGATAAGGACCTGAAGATAATAAAAATAATCATATTCAGAATTATTTAATTATTTACTTCACTACTTTTTTACTCCTACATGAAAACCAATAATCTAGTTGATGCTTCTATTGCAATTACCCTCACTAACTGCTTACAATTGATACTAGCTTTCTATTTCCCCTAGAAACTAAAGAAATAAAATAAATGAAATTTTAAAAGGAAATCAGCAATTTCATTCAAGTTAAAGTTATTATGAAAGTGAAATAAAATTGTTAATAAAAGAAATTAATTAAGTTGCCATCAAACCATTCAGAGAATGGTTACAAAAGGCAGATTCAATAAAATATTAACTATGTTTACTGTTGTGCGCTATGAAGTTGATTCCAACTCACAGCAACCCTGTAGAGCAGAGTTGAACTACCCCATAGAAATCTTATGCTCTAATCTTCTGGGAGCAGAATATCAGGTCTTTTCTCCCACCAAGCAACTGGTAATTTTCTTGAATCACACATTTTGATTAGCAGTCAAGCACTTTAACCATTGTACCACCAGGACACTGTAACTACTAACTATACTGGGAGGAAACTAATTAAAATATAAAATGGAATGCTATCAGAGGGTTCAAATTATAGACATGTCTAATAACAAGATTCACTGTTTTATATTGAGTCTAAAGTAAATCTATTGATACTTAATTTAAGAGTATGAAAAACAAGTTTTAAATTGCTGCCACAAAGAACTGTGTCTTGGTATTGAGGTAAAAGCAATTTATTTTACCTCTAAATGATTAGTAAATCAAAACTCATGTTAATAAAGCCAATGAAAATAAATGCAAATTCATCAAGTCCTATAGAATTAACAAAAACAAACTGCTTCTAACTATAACTTCTTCCCTGATTGAGTCCACACACCAAAAAAACAGCAAATTTTTCCTATAAAGGGTCCAATAATACATATTTCAACCTTTGCAAGACACAATGTTTGTTATAATTACTTAACATTAGTATTGTAAAGCAAGCATAGACATATGTATACAAATGATGTGGCTACGTTCTATTAAAATTTTATTTGCAAAAATGTGAGTGAAAGAGCCACACTTTGGTGCCATTATATAGTAAATACAAATTTAATACCTAGGTCATATCTGCAGACTTGTGCATAAAGCTTGAGTTTAGAAAATGCTTCATTGTTACCATCAGCTGCCTGAGAAAACCATTCTGCTACCAAATTTTCTGGCAGTTTCTTTGATGCAGTAGATCCAACTCTCATGATCCCATCTGTCAACAGTCGTGAAATAGGTCTATGCTGACCTAAACGACAGGACTACAAATATGCATAGAAAGAAGAGGTGAATTTATTACAGCATTTGGGTACATATAATAAACCATATAAGTTGTTTAAATAAGCTTAATGATTTACAACTAAAATGCAGCATAAAGACATCAAGCATGAATGGTATGTGTATTATTTTTCCTTTATTCCTTGAAAGTTCATTAATTTCCTTCCATAATCAAAATTATATACATAGTGAAATTAAAACAACTAGACAGTAACAATGTAAGGATAGTCCTATATTTTTTGCCAGCTTTCCCCAAAGTGTGTTCTGTGGGCCACTGGGGTTTCTTTTAAGAAATGCCATGTCATAAATAAATAAGTAGATAGATAGATAGATAGATAAGACAAATGAACGAAATTCCATGTCAAAAAAGTTTGCAACAATGTTGTTAAGTGACATCATAGCACAACAGAACAAAACATTAACACAACAGTTATTAAGCAAATATGGACAAAGGATTTCCTTACTGCAAGACTTTTTCATAACTTAATTTGAATTGTGAATCTCTAAAAGAGTATTATACACAACTATTCAACTCCCAAACTATTAAACTCTTTCTGAGAGAACTTTATAGAACAAGTGTTCCATGTAACATTCTTTGGGAAATATTTATTAGACAAAACACATTAACCTTGTAATTAAGTGGAAAACTAACAAAGAGCAAAACCAGCAAAGATGTGACAATTCAGATTGTAAAAAATATTTAATATTCAAGCCTGGACCTCCAAACACTTATGGGAAAAGGCAGGTGTAATTAACTGTTTATAACCTTTAGCACTTAGAAAAAAAAATTATTGGGTGTAATGATGGATATAACTTAAGAATTAATATTTGAAATATCAGTCAAGAATTTAACTGAAAAAAAAAAAAAAAGAATTTAACTGAAATGGCATTAGATCTAGGATTTTATTTCACCTATGAGGATACTGAAGCTGAGTGTCATAAAAGATCATGATTACACTTTATAAATGCAATTTTCCCACTGGATATATTAACATTGCTTTAAAATAAGGTTATCTTATATGGGTCATATGCCCTCAATGTTTTTTCTCCAAGATGGCAATTCCTACTGTTACTCATAAAACACACATATAACAATGGGCCTGGGTCAAAATTGAGAAAGAATGTAACTGGCTAGAATGAGAACTAAATATCCAGTCTGAAATCACTATACATAGCCCTGATATAATTAGTTAACCTAATTGATACTTTATAAATTACAATACAAATCATAAGTTAGTTCTACAATATGATGCATATTTAAGAACACCTACCTCATATATTGCAGTAAGATCTCTAAAAAAACTCTTAGCTCCATTTAACAAGGCTTCATTCTCTGGACAGAGTACAACATAGGCTATATCTCTTTGAGATCCATAAGGTTCCAGCATAAGTCTCTCCCAGTAAGGGAGAGCAAATGGAGAAAGCACCAGAAAATCATAATCATAACCCAACAGAAATGTGGGTATTGGCAGTGGTTCTGGGGATTCATCAGTTCCTAAATAAAACAGATATATTTTAAGAAAACATTGTAAAGCAGTTCCAGTTAAGAAATTCCTAAATGGTCTTTAGAAAATATAATTTGCCGTTAGCTTAATTTAAATGTAAAAAAATTAATTTAAACAAAACATAGCAGTAAGGAATATGAAGGGGGCGTTCCTTAATTTTCATAAACCTGGGTAAAGCATTTCTAATCATAATATAAACACTGATCATTAAAAAAAGATTATTCTGACTACAAACTTAAAATTTCTACATAACAAAAACATACCATAAGTAAAGCCAAAGATTAATAACATATTGGAAAAAATACTAATGCATATAAAAAACTTAATTTCCTTAACATATAAAGGAGACCCTTGTATCCAAAAGATAATGACAAATTTTTAAAATGGGGAAAGGATATATAGAAAGTTCATAGAAACACAAATACCTTTTACATAAGAAGATGCTCAATCTCTTAAAAGAGAGCAATTTAAAACTAATAATAAAACCAAACAATGATAATATGCTTATTGTTGCTTTATACCATTTAATCAAAACTCTTTACCTATAGATGGCAAACGAGGCATAGTTGCTAAATAAAACCTCTAAAACATCAGAGACCCAATGAAACTGATACAATGATAAATCCTGGAACCCTGAATTTCTGAGGATAGAGAAGTGGAAAGAATAACAACTCAGAGAAGCTGAAAAGAGCAGCCGAAAAGGAGACAGAAAGGTGAGTTGTCAGATGGCCTGAAGTGGCCCAGGAAACTTGAATTTTTGCAAGCAGCATTTGAGACAGAAGCCTGACTTTGACAAATGCACGCCGTGGCTGGTGGTAAGAAAGATGGGGTCTTCCTAGTGACCAGAAGTGTACAGTCCCCACCCACACCCACCCAAGAGCTGGTAAGACCTCCACAACCTCACAAACACCTGTTCTGCTACCTCTTATGGATTAGGCACCAGGTGCAGAACCCTAGTATCTAGAGGTACGTAAAACCCCCCTCATCAGACCTGCAGACTACCCGCAGTAGTGAGTTCCTGGTTCCTCTGAAAAAGCAGTAACTTTCGCTGAAACCAGCCACCCCGTCCCCAGCGGCCCTCTGGTCCCAAAAGAATTCCTCTGGGAAGAAGGACCCTGACCTCAGCAACCATTTGAAGAGGCACAAACCGTAATTCTAGATCAGGCGACGACTCCAGAAAAGCTACTAGGAACTCCACCTAGGCTCTAGGGAAGGAACCACCTCTTGCTTCCTTCACTTAGGAAGCTCCTTGGCTGGCAGATGGTGGCCTGTACCCCAAGTTTTCTCCTTTCCCTCCTTTTCCTTTCCCCTTTTTATTCTTCCTCTGCTATCTGGCTGTTTCTTATTTTTTCCCTTCCTTTTTGTTTTTTATCTTTTCTTAGTTTTTTTTTTTCCTTTTATATTTTCTTTCCCCACTCCCTAGTTCAGCTTAAAATTTTCCTGTTTTTATTTTCCCTATTTTTGTCTTTATAGGTATTACATTCTTTTTTTCTTGCCATTGTTTGCTTGCTTGCTCTCACTTGCTTTTTTCTCTTATTTTTTCTCCCCATCTCACTAAACCAGAAGCCACAACCGTGTCCACTTGACCCAGCCACATCCAGACTTCCTGCAACAACAAGTACTGGAAAAAAGACACTACCTGCTTCTTAAACCACCTGATCACTATAGACAGTAGTCAACATCAGCGGAACCAGAGTTCACTTGTTCAAACCAAATAGCTGAGTAATATGCATATACTCACATTCTCTATCACATCCAACTGAAGACAGGTGATGAGTTGCCTAAGAACACATCAAAGTAAAACTATCAATTAAATTAAGTACACCACCACCACACTGCCTGAGAGACAATAGGCAGGTTCACTGTGCATGATGAAACAAGACAGAGGGGCTCAAATGAGAGACCAAAACACAAGAGTCAGAACACCTTTCTCAGGAAGAAAAGGCATTGACTATACCTGCTAAGGAATTCAAAAGCATAGTCTTTATATAATATTTTGAAAATGCAAAGGAGTAGAACAAAATCAACAGATGGGCAAACTACTGAGCTTGAAGACAAATCTTGCAATTCTAATCTCCTAGAGAAATAATAAGAAAAGGACTGAAATAATAGAAGTCTAAGAATTATGTGGGGCATAATCAAGAGGAACAACTTACATATAATTGGAACTGCTAAACAAATAGACAAAAAAAGACAAATTATTGAAGAACTGTTAGAAGAAAAGTTCTATATAACATCACGAAAGACAAGATGTGTATTCAAGAAGCTGAATGAGTCCTAATAGTCCCTAAAAGAAAATCACCAAGACATATCATATTGAAACTTTCCAAAACCAAAGACACGGCAAGAAACCTGCTGAGGGAAAACAGAAAGTTTCCTACAAAGGAGAACCAACAGGATTAAGCTCTGATTTCTAGCACATACTATGCAGGCGAGGTGGCAGTAGGATGACATACACAAACTGAAAGGCCAATCAAGAATCATGTTGTTGTTAGGTACCATTGAGTTGGCTCTGACACACAGTGACCCTATGCACAACAGAACGAAACACTGCATGATCCTACACATCATCCCCCCAATTTACTGTTCTTAAGCCTGAACCTAGTGATATAGCCACTGTGTCAATCCATTTCCTTGGGAGCTTTCCTCTTTTTCACCATCCTTCCACTTTACCAAACATGATGTCTTTCTCCAGGGACTGGTTTGTCATAACAGTACGTCCAAAGTATGTAAGGTGAAGTCTTGTCATTCTTGCCTCCAATGAGCACTTTGGCCTTACATCTTCCAATAGACTGGTTTGTCCTTTTAGCAATCCATGGTACTGTCAATATTCTTCTCCAGCACAATTCAAATGCACTGATTCTCCCATATTCAATGTCCAACTCTCACATGTCTATGATGCAATAGAGAATACCATGGCTTGGGTCAGGTGCACCTTAGTCCTCAGAGTAACATCCTTGCTCTTCACTACCCTAAAGAGTCTTGTGCCGGAGATTTACAACACATCTTTTACTCTCTTGACTGCTACTTCCATAAGCAATGGTTGTGGATCCAAGCCAGATGAAAGCCTTGACAATGTCAACCTTTCCTCCATTTATCATGATGTTACCTATTGGTCCAGTTGTGAGGATTTGGGGCTTTCTTACATTGAGTTGTAATCCACACTGAAGGCTTTAGTCCTTGATCTTCATCAGCAATTGTTTCAAGCCCTCCTCACTTTCAGTAAGCAAGGTTGTGTCACCTGCATACGGCAGGTTGTTAATAAGCCCCCCACCTATCCTGATGCTGCACTCTTCTTCATATAATCCAACTTTTTCTGGATGATTTGTTCAGTATACAGATTGAACAAGTACAGCAAGAGGGAAAACCCTGACACACACCTTTCCTGATTTTAAATCATACAGTACTCCTTAGCTCTGTTCCCACAACTGCCTCTTGATCCAAGTATGAGTTCCAAATGAAAAAAAAAAAAGTTCCAAATGAGCACAATGAAGTGTTCTGGAATTCCCATTCTTCTCAAGGCTATCCACAGTTTATTATAGTCCACACAGTCAAATGCCTTTGCATAGTCAATGACACAGAAGTAAAAATCTTTCTAGTATTATCTACTTTTAGCTAAAATCCATCTTACATCAGCAATGATACCTCTTGTTCCATGTTCTCTTCTGAGTCTTGCCTGAACTTCTGGCAATTCCCTGTCAATGTACTACTGCAACCATTGTTGGATGATCTTAACCAAGAATCATATACCGAGCAAAATTGTGTCTCTTAAAAACTGTGAAATGAGGATATTTCCAAATAAATTAGGAATGTGCAAAAGCCAGATCAAATTTATAAGAAATATTAAAAGCAAAAAAAAAAAGAAATATTGGAAGCAGTTATTTGACAGCAAATCAACAGTCAGAAAACAGAAATTAACATATCTCAATTTTATTCATAAGTAAATCCAAATATAAATGTATACAATGTAAAACAAACCTACAAAACTGAAAATAAGAAACCACAGATATTGATTTGTAATGAAGATAGTTACAAAGTAAAAAGAGGACTACAAAGCAGTTACAGAATGTCCAAAACAGGAAGGAAGTAAGGTGGATAGAAGAGGAAGGCAGTCGATACATATAAGATGAGGAAATTTGGCAAAAAATGGAGTCTAGAGAAGACATTGGAAGGAATGCAAAGAGCTAAGCACTGTTGTGTACATAATACCACAAATACAGTGATCAACAAGTTGATCACAATGGATGAGTGAATATGGAAGAGCAGAAGTTTACCTACATACACTCAGATGTACCATTACTTGCAACTGTATCTATACGTTTCGTGGAGCATAAAGGGGTCAAAGTTATAAAAAATTTCTTGGACATACCCAGGTACCTTTAGAAAACGAATCACTAGGTCTAGGGCTCAGGACCCCAGTCTTGAGGGACACCAAGGTCAAAATACATAATATGGCCACAAAGACAATGTTTCACATTCTACTTTGATGAGCAGAAACTGTGGTCTTAAAAGCATGTGAGTAGCCAACTATGGTGCAACTATAGGTCTCTTCTTCTCCGGAGGAGAGTGATAAAAATCAAACACACAGAGAAACGAATGGACCACGTAATCATTAGTTCTCACAACCCCTGAGACCAGAAGAACTAGATGGTCCGTGGCTACCATAACCAACTGGTCTGAAAAGGATCAAATTAAAAGGCCCTGAACAGAATGGGAACAAAACAAAAAATCAGGAAGGAGACCAAGTAAGTTTGCTGGTTAGACAGAGACTGAGACTATGGTCCTGCGTCCCTCTTTTGTTTTTTTCCCTGTGTCACTCTTAAGACCTGGAGAACTTTACCCTGTGGCTCAATTTCGGCCCAACGATAGCTTAGTCTATGAAGGGGAATAGTAATAATCTCCATGTGTGCATTTGGGACCAAGGGGGGAGCATTTACCCAAGAACAAAGTTCAGATGGTTTAGGAAAGGAAAAGGAATAGAGAAAGGAAATAGGGAATGATATTAGATTGAGGGGATTTTAATTAATGATATGAAATCAGGTAAATGAATCATTGAATGTACGACTAATTAATTAGATCTGCTCTGTAAACCTTCAACCAAGGCACAAAAAGGTTTTTTTTTGTTTTTTTTTTAATTGACCTAATTTTAGAAGTGAGAAAACAAAAATAGTTAAGTTTGGCAATTTGTCCAGTATTAAATGTAAAGTGACAGAGCTAGACCATGAATGCAAGAAGTCTACTCTGAAAATTTTAGCTGTTCTACCTTTCAAACTACAATGAAATACTATTTTCACGCATCTACTGTGTACTCTATCAAGCAACGGTTTGGAAGATTGTAGAGGCAGAAGTCTAAAATGATACTGTAGAAAGTAATCAGGCAACATGAAAAAACAAGCATATATGCGTTAACCTACGGATATATGCATTATTGGAAAATGCTTGTAATAACAATGTAAACAACCTATATATCCATAAGGGGACTAAGAAAATAAATCATGTATAAACCAAGACACTGTATTAACTATTAAATATATTAATAGTTTATATAAATAATGTAATAGTTTAACAGTTTAATATTAAATGATTAAAATCATTTAATAAATAATGCAAAAGTTTAAATCTAATAAATTGCTGCAATCTGCATTTGCCACCAAATGCAAGGATATGTATGTGAGAAAGAGCATGAGAGATTTAAATTATTTATCATTCGTTAAAAAATAATTAAATATTTAAACCTATTTCTGTACATAATGCATTGTGAAATTATGCACCGAATTCTTCCAAATATATTTTAAAATGTCCAATTACACTCCATCTTTCCAGAGATAATCTTAAACAAATATAACATATTCTAAATGATTTTTCCCCATGACCACTATTACCAGCTGTCATCTAGTTAATTTAGATTCATGCTGATCCTATGTGTGTAGGAATAGAACTGTGCCTAAGAGTTACAATGGCTGATTTTTGAAAGTAGATCACTAAGTCTTTCTTCCAAAAGTCCACAGGGTAGATTAAAAACCTCCAACCTTCCAGTTAGCACCACTTGTACCAACCAGGGACTCTTATTATCATTCACCTACTGTGTACCATAAGACCACCACTCATTTGGTACTCTTATGACAACTAGCAAATCCTTGTCACTGTTTTAATTGCCTTTCTCCCCCCACCCCCCCCCACCCACCACACACTTGGAAACTTTTATTTCATCAGTATGCATCTCAAACATGGGTAAACATATTTTAATTGCCGTTTAGGGCGCAGCCCCTATAATCACTAGTATTACCTTTCTCTCATTCAAATAATTTCCATTCAATTTTGGAAATAATTTACAAAAAAGGTGTTTTGAGCCTTTTAAAAAAATTTTAGGCAGCAGAACCCTTTTCCAAATAAAACCTCACTGGGAAGAGAAATATATAAAATAGATCTAAGTTAAGTTGTTCTTTTTCAAGTGGGGTTAGAGAAACCAGCAGTTGCACGCAGAAAGGAAGAACAGGATTGACCATAAGTTTAGTGGTTAACTTAGGTTTTTAAGAATAACCACAAGATGTAGTTAAAGAAGTAGCATTCTGGCTTGGTATTAGAAATATGAGGACTGATAATTTACTTACCATAGGAGCCTCGGCCAGCCATTTTATGAAACTGTTGCCAAGTGAGAGGACCCTGAACCCCCCAAGGCCGTACTGTTCTTTTTTTCTGAATAGCATCCTGAAGAACTGGCTGAAGAGAAAGGAGCATTCGAAGTATATCCTGTGAGCACTGCATACTCACATCTACAACTATTGAAAGAAAAAAAAAGTGAAAAAGCGTAGCTATTGTCAAGGCAAAGAAATAGTATTTTCAGATAATAAATACACTTCAGTTCTTCATGATTAAGCATTTGATTGTAAAGAGAACTATATTAAGTTCTACTTAAAATTATACAAAAAAATAAATTATACATAGAAATGGTGTGTAAAATGATCATATAAAGCTGGTCATAATGACTGTTTTAATTTTATAAAAATTATGGACTACACATATGTACAAATATACTTGATTCAATTGATATATGGATTGTTATAAGAGCAGTAAGAGCCCCCAATAAAAGGATCTTTTATTAAAAAAGTTATGGACTATAACTTCTATATAAAACTTTGCATATTAAGACATAAATGTGTTCAAATTTTAAAGTGTTATTATCCTGATATTTTATAAATCTACACTTAAAGATTAAATATTGTCAATTATTATGACCAGTTGACTTGATAGCTGAGGTTTATTTTATATTCTGATCAACTATCCAAAAGAAAATGAAAAATATTGGTTTTAAGTATTAAATGGCTATCAAAATCACTAATGAGATGAGTATAACTAATCTGCTCCCTAGTATGGTTTTGGTTATACGATTAAGCCTGTTTGAATATACTGTTATAATAAATCACTCAATTTTAATTATTATTTTAAATTATTTTCTAGTATTAGAAATGTAGAAGTAATTTAAATACATTGCTAATAGCTATCACATACAATTGTGCTACAATAATCAAAACTACCTATGCAGAGCAATGAATTAATATGGCTTTGTGACTTCCAAACAATGATTGAGTGTGATGATTGAGTAAGATGCTTCTGACCTGCAAAGGGGATTGGACAGCTCTGCTAATAATGCAAATAAGAGCTGATGGTGCCCGGCTATCAAAAAGTATAGCATCTGGGGTCTTAAAGGCTTGAAGGTAATCAAGCGGCCATCAAGTTCAGAAGCAACAAAGCCCACATGGAAGAAGCACATCAGCCTATGCAACCAAGAAGTGTCGAAGGGATCAGGTATAAGGCATCATCAGAACAAAAAATCTTACCATAGTGAATGATGGGGGGAGTGCGGAGTAGAGACCCAAACTATGAGTAGGCCACTGGAGATCCCCTGGCAGAGGGGTCTCAGGGAGGAGATGAGCCAGTCAGGGTGCGATGTAACAACGATGAAAAATACAACTTTCCTCTAGTTCCTAAATGTTTCCTCCCCGCTCCCACTACCATGACTCAAATTCGACCTTGCAAGTCTGGCTAGATCAGAGGATGTACACTGGTACAGATAGGAACTGAAAATCCAGCGAATCCAGGGCGGATGAGCCATACAGGACCAGTGGTGTGAGTGGCGAAACAGGGGGGGTAGAGGGAGAGTGGGTAGGAAAGAGGGAACCGATTACAAGGAACTGTATGTGACCTCCTCCCTGGGGGACCGACAACAGAAAAGTGGGTGAAGGGAGACGTCAGACAGGGCAAGATATGACAAAATACCCATTTATAAACTATCAAGGGCTCATGAGGGAGGGGGCAGCGGAGAGGGAGGGGAAAAATGAAGTCCTAATGCCGGAGGTTTAAGTGGAGAGAAAATGTTTTGGGAATGATGAGGGCAAATGCGCTTTACACAATTGATGTGTGTATGGATTGTGATAAGAGTTGTATAAGCCCCTAATAAAATGATTTAAAAAAAAAAAAAGAACAATTAGTTCTTATGAAGCGGCCCTACTCAATACTTGCTTTCAAGAAGCAATAACTGAAGATAAGGGTGCTACAGCAGTGTGGTGAAGAAATCAGATGGTGCTTGGTTACCAAAAAGAATAGTGTCAAAAAAAATGGTGTCTGGGGTCTTACAGGATTGTCCTAAAACAAGCACCCATCGAAGTGAGTTGTCAGCTAAGGTCACACAAAAAAGGCATACCATCTAGTGAGATCCAAGGATTGTACATAAAATCCAAAACCAGAGGAGGGAATAGGATTAGAGCTTAAATTCTAAGCACCCAGTGTGCAGAAGGCTTGGATGACAGTGAAAGCTCAAAATCTAACGGCAGCATTCCCATGTGGATTAAACATCTGGAAAATCCCGACCACTGATTAGGGATATGAATAACCTTGGTTTCAGACAGAGTGCTCTGCAAAGTAGATTAATACTGTTGTACTTGGTTAAAATTTAATACCTCATACTTTGTTTTTAACTTTTTCAATAATTTTAAATTTGTTCTGGTTTTAATTATTTTCTGCTTTATTTAGGATTGAGGCCTTTCTGTGTTTAATTTTGTAACTTATTGGGGGTATGAGGAGTTGAATGTTTTTCTTTACATGAAATCCAGGATAGGTAAATATAGAGACCATAACTGGATTAATAGTTTAAGAGTTATGGAAGGAAAGGTTAGGAGAAAAGGGGAGCTAATGAGTACAAGAATGAAGAAAATGTTCTAAAATGGTTTGTGGTGATGACTGCACAACCCTTTTTTAATATGTTTAAATCACTATATTGTATGGTATGTGAATTATGTATCAATCAAAATGCAAAAAAGGGGTACATTTAGATGTCATGGAACAAATTTGTTTAAAAGTTGTTAAATGGAAACCCAATTTGCCAAGTAAAATTTCACCTAAAACACAGTATTTGTAAAATTAAATATATAGACACCGTACATACTCGTGTATGAGTTTTCCAGCACATTTTTAATGCCGTTTTTGTGGTAAAATTAGGTGCCTTGGCAGATATTCGGGTCGGTTTATACTTGAGTATCTACAATATTATTTTTTTTTTAAAGAAAAATTGCTTATAGTACTTTTTCCTATAAACCAAAGGCAAATAAAGTCATTCAACTAAAAGAAAAGTAGCAAAATAGTATTTTGTTCAAACACTTACCATTTCTTTTGGACCAAGGATGTAAGCAGGAACTTTTTACAAGTGCTTCATCAACTTTTCCTCCTGACATATTATCCATGAACTGACGCCCATGTTCTAATGCAAGGTAACAGTCATTGCAACAGTCCCGTTCTTCAACTCGTACCCAATTGGTAATTATACCAATTTTGGGGACAGGTTCTTGGTCTGCTGCTCCAAAGGGTGAAAATAAATTAGTGCATTGATCTTGTAGTAATAATATCAATTCATCTGGCAACTTTTCTGATTCTTTTAGTCCTCCATTAACATGTTCAGCAGAAGTAGCCCTGAGAGCTTCAAAACGTTTTTCTGTTTCTTTGCCGCATTCTGTGTTGCGTCCTATGATATCTAGTTCATCTTCAAGAAATAATCCTGAATTGTTTCCAAATTTTCTGTTCATGACAGCACTGAACCCACAGGTACACCGATACTGCGCTTCCTGCGTTGGATCTGGAATGTAAACTCCAACATCGGCACCCTTGATATTCATGTTGCAGACACAGATACAGCAACTATCAAAGTTACAGTCTTTAAACAGATTCATAACTGATTCTGAAAGGATGAGGTTTACATAAAGACTGTGTGCCTCAGGGATGGAAGGGACAGTTGCAGGTTCAACAGAATTAAGGGGTCTGCATGTGGAAGGTGTAGAAGCTGGTGAATATAAGTCCGAATTTTCATATTTGACAGAACCTTGAGCACTAGCAGGCCCACCAGCTCCACGAGGCGTCCTTGGAGTCCTTGGAGTCCTTGGAGTCGGAAATCTAGGGGTGGATGGAGAAGGAAGAATTCCTGCTCCACCATTACTAGGAGGTGCACTGCTAGGAGGCATCCCAAAAGAAGTATGAGTTTGAGGTGTATAAGCAGGGCCATATTCTGGATCCACAGTATTTCCATCGCTAGGGTCCCAGGGTAAAAAAAACAAACACACACACATATAAATGAACAATACATTAGAATTGTGAATACAATAAAAAATGTGCCAAATGTTTTTCGGTAACATTAAAATATGACAGAACAATTAGTGCAAAAATTTAAAGTATAATTATTCCTTAATTTGGGTTATTATGTCTACCCTATATTATTGAGTGGTACTAGTTCCAAAATTATAAAGAAAATCTAGAGCCCTATCTACACAGATAACTACATTTACTATCTGTCTATTTCCTACACAAATACATATATTTCATGAATTCTATGGTTACAAAACATTCAGATAAAGGGTTTTCACACAGGAAAGAGACAATAGCAATTTAAAAATGTTACCAATTATGAGCTACCATTTAAGAGATGATACAATGTGAAAAGTGTGTGTTAAAATATAGCAAATAATAAATGAGAGTAATTTAAAATTTTAGACTAAAAGAAAAGGTAATTCTGAAGTAAAGCATAATGCACCCGACATTTTCTAGTTTATCTATATCCCACTATTAACATTATAACCTTTTAACTAAAATAGACTTAAAGAATTTCAAAAACCAGTGTCCATTTTCTAGTATACCAAGTCATTCTATATATAAAAAAACCCCACACTAACATTCATACACTGTAATTATTAACATAAACCATACATACCCCTCTTTAATGAATGGCATTGCAGGCCCTGAATGAAGCAATTCCAATTTTCCAACAGTCCAACTCTGACGATAAATACACTCTTCTGGTAATTTGATAGGAGGCAAGCATTGGCTTGGTAGAGTTTTAAGAGGTGCAAACATGGAACATCCCACGAGAACTTGACAATTTTCAGGCTTGTAGACATAAGAAAAATCCTACAATATAAAAAACCATGGTTTTCAGTATATTCTCTTCTACAGGAGGCAGAGGGTGCTGGCTAACACTGACCCCTTCTTCCCACTTTAAATATAACAATACTCCATATTCTTAAACACAAACTTTATAGTGTCAACATTACAATTCAAATACGTTAGCTACAATAGAATCATGAAATTATGCTGAAGATAAAAAATTTAACTGTTAAGTAGTGAATTTTTTGCCTAGAAATATAAAATATTTACCTTAATTTCAGAAGGCTTTGGGCTACAGAATCCCTCATCAACCTCTATTTTGAACTGTGCTCCTATATTAGAAGTATTTCCTTCCAGAACAGTTCCTCCAGGTGTTGTATCTATACTACCATATTCTTTATTATTCATATTCATTGGAGAAAATCCCATAATATGCTGTTCCAATGATGGTGGTGTAGGATACATCTTATGAAGATCTGCAGTGCCTATATTTAATAAAACACACATTTTAACCTGTAACTAAAATGAGGTAAATTTGTATTTACCTAAGAGGAAGGAAGTTTTATTGTGATTGTAAATGTACCTATTTACCTGCAGTACAAATTTTAAAAACTTACTTATGCAAGATAATGGGTCCAGATTTCCTGCTTTTGATTCTTTGCAGCAGGATTTATCATCTGATCCATTCGTTGATTTTTTAGCTCCAGGCTATTTAAAAAACCACACACATACACACATTTTTATCAGAAAACTTTACAAGCAACATTTTTTTTCCAGCAACATAATCTTCAAACAGTCATCATTCATATGTAATTTAAAAGTAAAGCCCACTCATCAAAACTAAGGATGGAACTAAGAAATTATTAGATAAACTTAAAAGACATAAGGCACATGAGGCAATCACTGATCCAAAATGAAATGAGATTTCATGACTCTAGATAAAGTTCACAATAAAGGGAAAAGTTCCTCCAAAGAAAATGACCAATATTTTGTAAAGCAACTTTATTTTGTAGATAACGTTAATGTTTCCTATATATAATCAATCAGTGAGTCCTAGCAGTGCAGTAGGTTTAACACTGGGCCAATAACCAGATGTTGGGGGTGCAGGGTTATGCCCACAAGCTGTCCCACAGGAGGAAGATGAGGCAGTCTGGGTTACTATGAGTCAGAAGTATGTAGTCATTCATTCATCTAGATTTTCACTTTAACATTGCTTTAATAATCTCACCTCTGAAAAATACTGAAAAAGATAACTAAGTAAACTCAAGAAAGAGCAGACATGTTGCAGCAATAGGGTCCCTAAGTTTTTGTTCTTGTTGTGTTTTTTTTTGGTTTTGTTTTTTTTGTTTTTTTAAATCATTTTATTGGGGGGTTCTTGTTGTTTTAAGTAAGTTTTAATACATTGAATAAACAAGTTGAACATCTCTATCCTATCATCAATATTTTTAGAGCTGATAACATTGGTGCTATGTCTCCTGTTAAGTCACCCTTATACCAGAGGGGCCACAGCTGATACATGAATGGTAGTAAAGAGAAGCTATGAATGCACCATAAGTGTATTTGCCTAGTAAATTGTACCCTTAAATATATCATATTACAGGATGCAGAGTAAAAGTTCGTGCATACACATATTTGCCTTCTCTCATGTAATTGAAGGAACCAAATGCCTGTATACATGTATACAAATCTATATACTGACAAGATTTAAAGCATTTATTATATAGGACAAAACCAAAATGTATCTTAGAAGTTTACAAGTTACCTTTAAGCAGATGAAAAAGAATTCCCTTTTAAAATAATGCAATACGCAATTCAATAATTTTCCATATTTGACACACTAGGGAATATCATATTAAGGTTTAATTTTTTTCTCTCCAGTCATCTCTGCAAATGGGTATTATTAATTTTCCTTCTTTCACTGTTATAAATATATATGTCTTATAGTAATAACTGTGATGCCAAGCAAATCCAAAAGTGGCATTTGTTAATGGGCAGGGCACATAAATTTAACGTTAATTACTTTGTATGTATTCTCTAAATGAGCCAATTCCAGGGTCATTTTTTAAACTAGAAGACCAGAGAATAAGAAAATAATCCTGCTTCCTAAGGATTGCAAAAAAAGAATATCTGGTAGCTCAAGTTATGCTTAACCACGTGTGTCTGTAACTCACACAAACGAAAAGAAATCATTTTAAAGTTTATAAGTCATATGATGTCAAAAATGCTCAAGTAGTACAAAGTTAGAAGACAAAAAAAACTCTAAGAATGAATGGGACTTCATTTTAAGTATTTTAGAGCTAATGCTTCTAACACGTTTCCTATTGTTTAGAGTTAGAAAGAAAATGAAAATCACAGATAACTTTTGAAAGGGAAAAAAGTAAATAAAACACATGACAGTCCTAATAGGATACTCACTGTTAGCTCATCTTCATCAGAATTGAAGAGATTATCCAGGTCAGTATAAGAGACAGCCAAGTCTGAGTCATAAATCAAACTGGTTGATGGAGGTCGGGCATGACTAGTAGGGCGTGGAGCATCTACACATGTCAATCAGAAAAACAAAACTCTACTACTGATCAAATAAGTATCGCTGTAATAGTTTAAACTAGTTTAAACTTATAACCTTCAGTTATAAGAAGTATATACAACAAGAAATCATAAATTTTTTAAATCTAGAATTTTTTTTCCGTAGAAATAAAGTTGTAAATAAATGATAGTACCTTCCTGGAAGCTAACAAAGGCCATGTAAAGCCATAGCATAGCTAAAGTACACTACATAAATAATGAAGCTAACATATAAAAATTAACACCATTAAAATAAGAAAACTAAACACACAATCACATTTTAATTTTTCTATCTTCCTTTAATGAAAAGCACAATACAATAAATAGGAGCTCTGGCAGACTACTAATTTTGACAGATTATTAATTTGAATCTCAGTTCTACCTATAACAGTATGTATGACCCTGAGCAAATTTCTTATCCCCTCCATGCTTTAGGAATGGCACCTACTAAGAATTAAACGTGACAGAATGGAGGTAGAGCACTTTGTCTAATGCCATACACTTAAGCACTCAAAAAATAGTATCTCTTAGTTAAGCTGTATTTCAGACCTAGAATTTTATATTGCTTTTTATTTTTCCCCAAAATCAGAGGGAGAAAAAACATGATTACTTTAAATAAATTACAAATACAAGGAAAGATTAAGCTTCCTTCTAGTTTCACTTAAAAAAAAAGTTTGCTGTATAACCTTCTAAATCATCCTCTGAATATTACCTAACTTGAAACAGCTCTCACTTTCAGAATATGAAAGTCATTTTCTCAGATGCTTTCTAAAGACTGAATACCATATAACTGCCAGATCACCTAAGGTCTTTGTTAAATCCTAGATTCCCAACCTTCACTGTAAGAGATGATCCAGAAAGTGCTCCATGTCTACATTTTCAGAAATTCATACCACAGGCACAAGGGGATTACATATGAGGAGCTTCAAAAAGTCCATGGAGAAGTGGACTTATAAGATAATGGAACTTTTCCATAAACTTTTCAAAGGTTTCCCCCGCCGCCTCACCCTGCCCCTGGGTACTCTTTAGATCCTAGAGTCCACCACACCTCTAGGTCAATTTGTCATATTCTGGGGTCATACTGTTATTAAAACATTGAAAGCTATGCCACGAGTCTTTCAAATACTAGCAGTACTACCCATAGTGGACAAGTTTTTCTTTATTCTTACTTATTCTAGAGGCTATCCTCTTACTCAAAATATTAAAACAAAATTTTGACCCCCCCAAAATAAACACCACCAGATGACTTCTTTTGCACACATTAAACATTAAACAGATTTTGTAAAATAATGTATTTCTCTACTCCATTTAAAATAGCAAAAATCAAATTCAAAGTGAATCTCCACCACCATTCCACTGTTTAGAATTTTATTTACTAAATAGGGGCTCAATAAATATTTAAGTAATAACCTCAGCAAATTCTCCTAACTTGTGGGTTAAAAGAAGAATAGAGTAACAAAATTACTGTAAAGCCTCAATTTATAAACTAAGTTTTTAGATCTGAGGGGGATCTTGTACCAGGATCTAATCAATTCTCTTAACTTTACAAATCAGAATGTTCTTTTCATCTGTAAAAGAGGAACGAAATTTGAACAATTTGAAACAGAATTTCAATCGCCTCAATTTCTCCCAATAAAAGATGAACAGTAAACACATTGTTTCTAGAAAAGTCTCTTATTTGAAACATTAATTATACAAAATGGAACTTTAAGTCATACAATATCATTAGCTTCACTTTTTAGTAATAGTCCCTAGATGCAACATTTTGATTAGGACATAAATTATTTACCTTGCTTGATAGAGTGACTAAATAATGACATTGCATCTTCTTCATGTGATAACACTGTTACACTAGATGTTCCATCTTCTACCTGCAAGCAGTATAGTATTACATTAGGGTAAAAAGAAAATGTAGTTTATCAATAATAAAATCTACCAATTACTGAGTAGCTAACTATGTGCTAAACATTCTACTAACTGTTCCACATTCATTACTACTCATTCTCACTATTAGCTTTTCAGGTAAAATTAGCACTTTTCTTATCTAACACACAAAACAGAGGCTCTAAAGATAATCTATTGTCGGCCATCTAGCCCAGAAGCAACAAAGCCCACATGGAAGAAGCACAACAGCCTGAGTGATCATGAGGTGCCGAAAGGGATCAGTTATCAGGCATCAAAGAACAAAAAATCATTATCATTGGGTGCTCACCTCCCTGATAGGATCACTGAAGACAAATGGGTGCATAAGCAAATTTTTGCGAAGAAAGCTGATGGTGTCCGGCTATCAAAAGATATAGCATCTGGGGTCT